CTGGCTGCACGAGGGCAAGTGACTATAGGAGAGGCGAGCCTATGAGAAAATGCCAAAGAGCACAGAGAAAGGGTAAGGATTTGTGGAGGGCTGGGAGGCTCTGTTGCCTACTTGCTCCCCATCTTTACCCCACCCCCCATCCTGTGACTCCCTCCTTGCATACCAGCTTCTCTGCCTGGTTTGGCTCTGAGCCTGGGTACCTGAGAACATTAAAACCTGAAAAATACACCAAGTACTCCAGGATTTTCCTTTATCTGCCTACCCTAATCCATAGTGAACCTACCTGTGCTTGCTGGCACTACACCAAATCACAAACAAAATTGAAAATGAGGAGACAGAAGAACATAGTAAAAATGCTTGAAAGGAAATCCAAATCAGTAGTTTTGGAGGATACAGGAGGGTAATTTGGGGCAACAATCCTGGGAAAACTGATGGAAACAACAATGGAGGATATAAAATCAACAACAGGATAAAGGTAATGAAAGATGAGTCAACTACATTCAGAAATAATGGAGTTAAAAAGCACAATAGTTGATTTAAAAAATACAACTGTCTAAATAGCAGACTAACAGCACAATGGAGAGAATTAATGAACTTGAAAACAATAATAGAGAACATAGAATAGCACAATGTAGAGAAAAAGAATTTAAAAAGATGAAATATAAGTTTTCTAGGACAGCTTAAAGAGATGTAACATCTGTATCGTGGGAATCTCAGAAGGAAAGGAAAGCAGGCTCACAGACAAACCAGGCTCACAGACAAACCAGGCAAAGGAAAGCTACTAAAAGAAATAATCATGGCCCTCCCTGGTAGCGCAATAGGTTAAAGTACAGCAGTGTGAGGCAATCTGCAGCCACTGCAACAAGAGTCTGACTCCCTGCCAAGGAGCTGACCCACATAATGCAGCAGACCTCTCCTGTCTCACCCAATGCTCCCCTGAGCAGTGTATTTCAGTACATCTGCCTGTTCTGCTCCCTACTCAATCTCTGGTGAATTCTCTCCTGCACCTCTGGCTGTTCCCCAGTTCTGTATGCATAAATAAGTAAATCTTTTTTTTAAAAAAAAAAAAGAGATAAAGAATGACACTATATTACAACTAGGGATTTATAATACTTAATCATATATGCACCAAATGACAGAGCACCAAGAAACCTAAGACAATAACAGATTTAAGATTAGTGACACATTAACACTAGAGGATCTTAATACCCCAGTTACAACAATGGACAAGTCAACAAGAAAAGTATAAATAAGGAAACAATAGCTCTAATTGAGGAAGTACACCAAATAGTTCTAACACACTTCTGTACAACACTTCACCCAAAAACTGTTCCATACACATTTTTTCAAGTGCACATGGAACATTTTCAAGAATAGATCACACTGTGGAATTTACACAAATCAATTTCAATAAAACCACAATAATTGAAATCATAGCTAATACCTTTATGCTATAAAACTAGAAAACTAGAAATCAACTACTTAAAAATGCTATAAAACTAGAAATCAACTACTTAAAAATCACAAAACCATTAATACGTGGGTATTAAATTACATGCTACTTAGTAGCAACCGGATAAAAGAGAGTATCAAAACAGAAATTTAAAATCATTAAGCTGGGGCCCTCCCTGGTGGCGCAATGGGTTAAAGCATAGCACTACGAAGCTATCCACAGCCACTACAGCATGAGTTCACAGGCCAGGGAGGTGACCCACATGGCACAGCAGAGCTCTCCTGACCCACCTGCTGCTCCCCTCAGCATTATATTTTAGTAGATCACCTGTTCTGCTCCCCACTCTGTCTCGGGTGAGTCCTCTCACTCCCAGTACCTCTGGCCTGTACCCCAGTTCTTGTATGCATAAATAAATCTTAAAAAAAAAAACACAATAAAAATCATTAGGCTAATGAAAATGATGATATAAATTGCCAGAACCTATGAGATATAGCAAAAGTAATCTTAAGGGGAAAGATAATTGCAATACAGGCTCATACTAAAAAACTCAAACAACAAATATTCAAACAACTAATATCACACCTAAAGCAATTTGAAAAAGAGGAACAAGGGCCTCTCTTAAGGGTTAAGTCTCAGCATTACCTCTATTATGGGCCACTGTGACAATCTGAGTTGATCCCAGCCAGGGTGCTAACCCCTATGGCACAGCAGGCCTCTCATGTCTCACCCATTGCTCCCCTCAGCAGTGTGTTTCAGTATCTGCCTGTACTGTTCCCCACTGTTTCTCTGGTGAATCCTCTCACACATTCTTCCCCCACCACCTCTGGCCTATACCCCAGTACCCTAGTTATTTTATGTAAAAATAAATACATTTTAAAAAATCTTAAATGAACTGTTCTAGCATTTAAAAAAGGGGTGGGGGCAGGGACAAATAAGACCTAAGTTAGTAGAGGGAAGAAAATAATAAAAAATAAGAGTGAAAAGGAAAATAGAGATTAAAAAACTACAAGAAATCAGTGATATACCAAGAATCATTTCTTTGAGAAGATAAACAGAAGAGATCCCTAGCTAAAATTAGGAGGAGAAAAATAATGAACAATAGCAAGTGATAAAGAGAAATTAGTACAGAAAGCATAGAAGTCCAAAAGTGTACTATAGTGAAAGAGCACTGCATGAACCAAGAAACACTTGCACTTTCCTGCAGGAAAGTCATTTAACTTCATTTACTAAGTTCCAAACTAAAAGAATTAGATTACCAGTGAGAATCTCTAATGCAGAAGTCATCCACAGGAAATGCAACATCAGAAAAGTCAGACCTGTGCAGGACAGACACAGTAGATTGAAGAGAACTCTCATTCAAGAGTTTGAAAAAGCAGGCAGAGTGGTCTGTAAACTCTCAACTGGGAAAATACAGAGTAAGACGTCAACAGTGAGTTGGACAAGAACCCAGGATTTCCCAAAATTCTGGGCAAACTTTAGACTAGAAATATGAGTAATAGTTTAAAGCACCAGCAACAGGGCTTGAACAACCTAGCAATATTTTACACTCTGTGTAGCAAGGCAGGATCTGACTGCACACATGGAACTTAGGAAGGTAGGTAGGCACTTCAGGTAGAATACTACGTAGAAAAAAGCAGTTGCCGGGACATGGGCGTTTCACTGACAAAATACTGTAATGCAGCTCAAAAAGATCATTTAGTTCTGGGAGTCAAAGTACTTCTAGAATAGCACTATCCAGTGGAATTTTCTGAAATGACAGAAATGTCCTGTATCTACTCTGTTCAACATGGTAGCCACGGGGTACACAGAACTACTGAGTACTGGAATTATGGCAAATACAACCGAGGAACTTAATTTTTAAGTTTTACTTACTTTTAAGTGAAAGTAGTGACATATGGCTAGTGGTTACTATTTTTAGCAACACAGAAAGTCTGACCAGTCCTGTTGTTCTCTGTATAGTCACAAAACATATATAATAAAAAATCCATTTGTAAAATATGAAAAATAATTCATTTTTATTTGAAACTTCTATGTATATACGCTGTGAGTAGTAACTCAATATGTCCATAAGAAGCAAATCAACCCTAGAAATTTTATAGGAATTCATGCCCTTCCAAAGTAAACCAAGATCAACTATATTCTTGGTTCAGTCTGAAGATACAATTATCTAAGATGAACGAGAAACCACCGTGGCCCCAAGAAACATTTTAAACTAAGGACAAAGTGCTGGGTTGAGCTGAGTGCTCCTGGGTCTGCCTTATCATAAGCTAGACTAGATCTGGGCTCTGAATTTGGGAAAACATAACTCTTCTTTCACTGGTACTCCTGACAGAATCAGCTAATTCAGACAAGATATTCATAATCATAGTGTCTTTAAGTTTCCCTTAGTGCAATAAGTAAGAGTCCTATAAAATAGTTAAATTGGTCCTCCCTGGTGGGACAACAGGTTAAAGCACAGCACTATGAAGCAATCCCCAACCACTGCATTATGAGCTTGATCCCACGCCAGGGAGGTGACCCACATGGTACAGACCTCTCCTGACCTGCCCGCTACTCCCCTCAGCAGTGTACTTCAGTATATTTGCCTGTTCTGCTCCCCACTCTGTCTCTGGTGAATCCTCTCACTCCCGTTCTTGTATGCATAAATAAAAAAAATCTTAAAGAAAAAGTTAAATTAGGGCCCTCCCTGTTGGTACAGTGGGTTAAAGCACAGCACCAAGAAGCTAAAGCCACTTCAACATGAGTTTGATCCCCACCCTGGAGGTGATCCACATGGCACAGCAGACCTCTCCTGACCTGACTGCTTCTCCCCTTAGCAGTGTACTTCATAGACCTGCCTGTTCGCTCCCCACTCTGTCTCTGGTGAATTCTCTCACTTCTCCTGCACCTCTGGCCTGTACTCCAGTTCTGTATACACAAATAAATAAATCTTAAAAAAAAAAAAGTTAAATTACAGAATTCTTGCTTCAGAACTACAAATCCAGAATAATCCAATTTATTCCTATGCTGAGTCAATTAAGAAAAGAAAGATAACCTAAAGTCAAAACAGGTTTATTGGTTATATATACAAAAAAAACTGTATGCAACTTACAAGTATTCAATATAAAAAAGGCTCAGTACAAGCTGCTCTTCTTTCACTATAAGAAAAGTATATCAACTTCAGACAAATATAGTGGATTCCAATTTTAAGATTATATATTACACATACTCAAAAGAAGCCTCTGCTTTTTCGGAAAATGGATAAAAGCTATTAAAGGTAAATGAAATGAAAAGAAATTAAAACTGCGGTATTGATTTTTATATTAACATCATCTATTATTTCTGTATGATATAAGCAGACCAAACATTCAAAATTCAAATATAAAACTAATATTTTTTCAGCTTCATTGACATATAATTGACAAATCTTTTTAATAATGGAAAATATATGCTAAAGTTATCAGGTACCAATTTTTTAGAACTTTTGACTAAGAGTTTTACCAACTCGCTCTAAACCAAAAAAACCTCAAAATTTTAAAAATATATATTTTTCTGTTTATTAAGTTCAAGATTTTTTTCCTTCTTCAAACCCTAAATCCAAATTAAAAAAAAAAAATTCACTGGCCACTGAGAACATTTTTGCAGTCACATAATCAGAACACTTACTTCTTTAATTATTTAACTTATTTCCATCCTAATCAAATGCCAGGAATATAGGAGTAAGTGAATATTATTTTTTTCCCCAAGCCTGTGATAGAGATATAACTAAATATACATGAGATACTTAAACAGTGAGGCAGGCCCTTATGGCAGAGGGAATGAACCCTCTTTATGGCCTGAGGAACAAACAGCAGATCACTAAAGCTGATCTAGAGAAGCGTTTACCAGGAATCAGTCTTCTCCAAAGCTGGACAAGGAGGAAGTGTGGAAAGCACAGCTTTTCTAAAAGTATGAAAGGTGTCACTTGGCGACACTCCAGTTTCCTGAGGAAGGGAAGGAGACAATGAATCATCTTGTATTACGCATTTGAAATCTTCCTTGTTTTCTACCGTCAGCAACTGTTCTATCTCCTCTTTTAAAGATAAATTTGTTTCAAACTTATGATTTGGTACCTGAAGTTGCTCTTTTTGAGTTGTTCTCTCTTCTTCCAACCCCTTTGACTCCAGGCAAATGAGTTTGTTTCCGGAGACCTCACTGGCTTCTCCTTCCTCCATGGGAGGTAGATGTTGAGGTGCCGTTGTTTTACTCATAGATTCCTCTTTCAGCAAATTTATATCCCCATGACAGGTAAAATTTGGCGCTTTGTGTAGCCTAGAATTTTTACCAAGTGAGAAACCTCTTACTCTTCCCTCTTTCTCTGCTGTCTCTGTCACTGGTTTTTTTTGATCTAGCACTGTCCTTATTAGGAGTCCCTGTGCATTCATCCTGTATTCTTTGGCAGCTCGCTCTCTACGCTGCTTCTGGAAGTTTGTGATTTGAAGCAGTTCCTCTGGAAGATCCATACATGCAGGCTGAAAAAAGAAAATGAACACAAGTGTACTGTTACTAAACTGCTGACTATGGTCCTTACAGTCACTTCTACAGTAATGAAATGTTTGGCGATGGTGGGGCTGTTCAAACGTGTTCTTATAGCACCCTCTGGTGTCTTCAACTATAGGGTTTTGTGTGTGTGTGTGTGTAATTTAAATATTTGGAATTCACAAGAATGTGTGCACAAGTGTAAAAAGATTATACAATGGAAAGTGAGTTTCTTTTTAACCTAGCCAGAGATGCCTTAGCACATCTATTCTCTAAAAAGCAGTTTCTTGCATAGCCTCCCAGAGGTAGTCTGTATATATACAATCATATATGTGAATAATGTGTGAGTTTCTCCATTTATGTATGGTATAAGTATGTGTGTGTATATACATGTGCATTTATTTGTGTGTGGTTACATATATGTTTTACTAGATATTTATCTTTCCATTGGGTTATATTTGTCAATTTTTACATGTATTTACATATATATCTTACTAGCTATTTATCTTTTCATTGGGTTATACTTGTCAATTTTTACGTGTATTTACATAAGAACTTGATTCATGGAGTTAATTTTGGTAGTGAGAGACAGAAATCCAATTTTGGTTCTCTTTTCCCACAATGGCTAGTCAATTGACTTTCACCACTTACTGAGTATTTTTTCTTCATTAATTAGAAAGTTTACCTCTAAGGCCCTCCCTGGTGGCATAACGGGTTAAAGACAGCCTGTACCCTAGTTCCTGTATGCAGAAGTAAATAAAACCTTTTTAAAAAAATGTCTACCTTTACCACCACCACACTGATATTTCTGGGTTGAATACTCTGGTTTTATTATTTGCCTACATACTTACCAATTACAAACCTTTTTAGTTAGTGCAGATTTTAATAACTGACAGGATTATTCTTATACCTTTATTTCTAGAAACTAGCTCAATTTGCCAAATAATGCAGGTGTTAATATTTTTCTTGGACTAGAATTAAAATAAAAATTAATTTAGGAACAATTGTGAGTCAAAAAACTCAGTCACCATCCGTTTAAGTCCTCTTTATGCCATTTAATAATACTGTAACTATGTTCACATTTTTAATTAGATTTATTTTAAAGATCTATTTATTTATGCATACAGAACGGGGACACAGGGTACAGGGTTGGTGAGAGGATTCCCCAGAGACAAAGGGGGAGCAGAATAGGCAAATGCTGAGGGGAGCAGAGAGCAAGACTGGAGAAGTTTGCTGCCCCATGTGGGTCACCTCCTTTTCTGGGGATCAAACTCTTGCTGCAGAGGCTGCAGGTACTGTCGCAGTGCTGTGATTTAACCTGTTGAGCCACCAGGGAAGGCCTTAGAATAATTTTGAAATAACTTATCTTTTTGTTATAATTATAAGTGAATGTTTTCTCTTATTATATATTCTAGCTGTGTATGTGTATATAGCAAAGCTATACCTTTTTGTTATATTTTGTATCTAGTCACTACTAAATTGTCTTTTTGTTTGTTACAGTCTTTTCCAATTGATTTGCTTCAGTTTTCAGTTGCATTATAGGCAAGGAATTATTCTAATTCTTCCTATTCAATTTTTATAGTTTACCTTTGTTTCCTAATTTTATTGACTAATAGTTTAAAAAATGCTAAAGTAGTTGTGATTGTCACCGGTTTTTTTTTTGTATTATTCTTGATATTAATGGGAATGCTTCTAGCGTTCCCAAACACAGTCTTCATGCTTGACATTTGTCTTATCATGCTAATTTCCTACTAGAACTTTAACCACTGATACAGAATAGCATCAAAATTTTTAAAAAATTAAAAATATATATTCACTATATCATTCTTCATTTTTGTACAGTGATGATTTATTTCCCCATGAAGTTCCCACCCCCAGCTCACCCTGCACCATCACAGAGTCCCTTGTGTTCTCCTCACCCCTATCCTGGTCCTTCTCCCTCCTCTTCCCCTACAGAAAGTGTCTGATCGATAGTTGCCTGATGATTTTGATTTTGATTTTACTATAGGTACTTTTTATTTTCTGATTCCTTTTTTGGTTTTTCTATATTTCCCCTATAAGTGAAACCATTTGAATATCATCAAATTTTTTGTCAGAGTTTATGAGATAATTATAAGACTTTCTTGGGTCTTCTAAAATGGAGAATTTCCTGACATTGAATCAAACTTGCAATTAAAATCCAGTGACAGATTAAAATAAACTACATCTAAGTGGGGTTCATACCTATAATGTTAGTAGTTTATTTAGGATACTGCATCCATATTCCAAAGTGATAGTGACTTATAAAACAATAGCCTGAAATGTTTTATGTAAGAGGCTTAATCATCAATATTTTAGACTTCGTGAGTCACAAATTGTCTCTGTGGCACATGCCCTCCCCCCCCTTTTTTTATGTCTTTGATTTTACAACTACTGAAAACCATACTCAGCAGGCAAGCTGTACAAAAATAGGCTATGGGACAGATCTGGGCTTAGGGTCAGTGTTGGTTAAGTCCAGGTCTACAGTTTTCTTATACATTGCTGGCTTCATAAGAATGACTAAGGAAATCTTAAATTTACCCATTCTTTGACAAAAATATTTACTGAAAACATTGTTTAAAATTATAAAAAAGGGGGCCTCCCTGGTGGTCAAGGGACTAAGTCTCACCACTATAAAGTTATAAGCAGCCACTGCAGCATGAATTCAATCTCCCACCAAGGAGCTGACCCACATGACTTTGTCTTGCCTGATTCTCCCCTCAGCAGTATATTTCAGTCAATCCACCTGTTCTGCTCCCTACTCTGGCTCTGGTGAATGCTCTCACTATCCCCACCCCAAACCTGCTGCATCTCTGGCCTACACCACAACTCTTGAATGCATAAAGAAAATAAGTCTTTTTTAAAAAGTATTCAGGGAGATGGATGAAGCCCAGGATATAATCCCTTCAAGAATATTATCACCAGGTCTGATTCATTAAATTTGCTGCATTTATGAAGAGTGGGCATCGCTCCAAAAGAATAAGGAAGAAGGCAAAGACACTCTCACCTACCTCTGTGCCTCCCAGACGGTCTGCTGATCCTTCTCGGTAGGTATTCAAGTACCCATCTACCAGTGTAGTGAGGTCAGACATCATCTCATCCAGGAGTATTAAGCGAAGGGGTAGCAAGTAGGTGGCTTCCAAAGCTAAAATTTTCAACAAATAGGGTGAAAGAGGTCTTGTGAACCACACTTCTGGATTTTCCTGGAGATACCAAAACAATTTCCATGGTTAGCAATCTTTAAAGAAAGTAACTTTATCTAAGTGTTACTTAAATTAAAACAATGTCACTGTATTACTGTTATTTTCTTCTTTCACACTATGGCTAGCTTTCTATATACACACTCTATATGTACAGATAATATGTGTAAGGAGGGGTCAAATGGGGAAGATGAGGGAGAAGGAGAGAGAGATCAGGAATTCATCAAAATTGTAGACAACAGCTATGACTACATGGCCAAAATTATAGCAAGTATGGTTATGACAAAAGTTTGTATGCAGGGCTATTAGGAACTAAAGAAAATGAACCTTACTTTGGGAAAAAACAATTGGGATGATTATTTTGTTCTATTGCCTTCAATTCAAATTTCCCAATAAAAATCCCACTTTGTCCCAATTTTAAAATTTATTTCAGAATATTTTTTATTAACCTTTTCTTTTATTTTATAACAGTTTATTTTTACATCATTTTGTACATTTTTTTTCCACCTCAGAATATTTTTTAATTGAACATCAACAAATCTGGACCCTGGCTTTTATCCACTTAACTTCCACAAACTGTTCACCTTTGGAATAACTAAGGTTTTGGCAATGATTACCTGCTTACATAGCAGCTGTGATTTCTCAAGCTGATCATCATACTTAGGAAAAGACTTGAAAAGCTACTGTCATATAGCACATCCTTTAATACTCACCCGAATTAGTTTTTGTCTCTCTTCCAGAAAAGAGAGATATTTAGGGGCTACTTTGAGGTGCCTGATTAAACTCTCCTGCAAGGTACTAATGCAGTTCGGAAGAAAGCCACCTGTTTCCATGGAAAATTGAAGGACATCTGCTACCTATGGCATTAAAAGACAAACCTATCAGTCTGTAAAATATTTACAGAGAATGTCTTATGGCAGAAATAACAGAATTAGAGAAATTTCTTTAAATATCATTTTCCCAAAGGGTCTATGTTATAGACAATAGCCATTAGGAAACTTGAAGTTGTTCAGGGAACTTACTCTGAAAAATCTGGAGAGAAAGGGATGATTACTTAATTTTAATGTGCCCTTGTCTATTATCTTCTATATTTCTTCCTGCCTTATTGTTACCTATTACTATCAAGTATCTTTAGGAATGGGGAAAGGAAGATAAAATTCAAGAATAATTTTTATTAGCAGCTCTGATTAAAATGTTGGTAAGGAAAACTAATAAAGTAAGAATGGACTAATTATTCATGTGTGATAAGGTAAATAATGTCTCCCCTCCCCCATCAAAGACACCCATGTCCTAATCTCTAGATCTATGAATGTTACTGTATGCAAAATGGATTATACAGTTGTGGGAATTTTATGAGGAATACACTGGAAAGAAGAAAGCATACAAGAATGCATTGTACAAAAATGAATAATGGGACCTTCCTGTTGGCACAGGGATTAAAGTCCCAGCTCTATCAAGCCACCATGGCTTGAGTTCAATCCTCAGCCAGGGAACTGACCCACATGACACAGCCGACCTCTTCTATCTTGCCCACTGCTCCCCTCAGCAGTGTATTTCAGTGGATCTGTCTGTTCTGTTCCCCACTCTGTCTCTGGGGAATCCTCTCACCCCAGCCCCCCATACCTCTGGCCCACACCCCAGGCTCCTGTATACAGAAATAAATTTTTAAAAATCTTTTTAAAAAAAGAACAATGATGTAAAATGTGTGTGTGTGTGCATATATATTTATGCATATATATATATTCAAAAAATTAAAAAAGAATCTTGAAATGAGAAAATCATTTTGAATTTTGTGACTGGTCGCGAACAGAAAATTACAATTGTTTTTGTATAAGAGGGAGGAAGACAGAAATTTTATTACTACAATCAAAGGAAAAGATGAGGTAATGATGGAAACAGAGACTGGAATGATATACTCTGAAGACAGAAGGAGCCATAATCCAAAGAATACATGGCTATTATTTGAAGTTGAAGAGGAAAGGAAATGAACCCTTCCTTCTTAGGCTTCAGAAGAAACCAGCCCTGCTAACACCCTGATTTTGGCTAAATGAAAGTCATTTCAAACTCTGACCTCCAGAACTGTCAAGAGTCTAAGTTTGTAAGTCACTAAATTTGTGGAGATTTGTTTGAACAGGAAACTAAGAAAATGTATTAAAAGAAAACAAATTGATAAAAGTCTAAACTGCTGCTTTTTACACTAAGGAAATCCGAAAAGAAAAATATAGAAAGAAATGCCAATGTCTCCATTAGACAAGACACAGGGAGTCAAATCAAGAAGTCTAATGGCCTAAAGTGAACAACGATCAATTCTCTTACATTTTCAAGTAAACACTGAAGCAATCTCTGTATCATAAAAGATGCTGAAAGAAGGCTCAAAGGAACATGTAAAGAGGAAAGTGGCATAAAGTTAATTTTGAATAGATGCATGATGGACAAACCCGAACCACATAAAATAACAAAGTTGAACTTTTGGGAATTTTTAGTAAAAATTAATTGGTCAACTCTTTAGTTTAACCCCATTCCAAAGGGTGTAGCTCTAGGCATTTAACTGGCATATGCATAGAAGAATGTTTTTATTCCTCTCACAGAGAAACCAGAAACTCAGATCAGCTCTAAGAGCTAGTCAAGGAAATTCTCATTTCTCTAGGACACTTTATTTTTTAAAAGATTTTATTTTTATGTATTTACATACACAAGAACTGGGGTATAGGAGTCAGGGGTGAGAGGATTCACCAGACACAGAGTGGGGAGCAGAACAGGCAGATCCACTGAAATACACTGCTGAGGAGAGCAGCAGATGAGACATGAGAGGTCTGCTGTGCCATGTGAGCCATTTCCCTGCCTAGTGATTAAACTTGTGCTACAATGGTTGCCAATAGCTTCACAGAGCTGAAACTTAAGCCCCTGCACCACCAGGGAGGGCCTTTCTAGGATATTTTAGATGAGAAACTAATAACATATCTTCAGGCTATTTGGGGCCAGAATATGCTTTTTAGGCATATCTAGTAGAACCTGTATACCTGAGTTAGATGCTAACTAGCCACTAGCCTTCGTCATATATGTATATTATATGTGTAACTCTAACCCTAGTCAAGATAGGATTGTTCATCTCACATCAGATATCTATGTGAGATTTCAAAAGACTCCCAAAATTTTTAGTTTCTTAATGGTATAGAGTGTGAAGACTGCTTTATATTTGACAAATTATGGAGTAAAACAGGCAGGAAAAAATCCTAAATACTTTAACTTTCCTGCAAAACCTTTACAGTTCAGGGCCTCCCTGGTAGCACCAGGGGTTAGAATGTAGCCCTATGAAGCTATCTGCAGCCACTGCAGCACAATTTCAATACCCGGCCAGTGAGGTCACTGGTCCACATGGCCCAGCAGACCTCTCCTTAGCAGTGTATCTGTTGTATAGTTCCCCACTGTCTCTTGTGAATCCTCTCATCTCCCATACCTCTGGCTTGTACCCCAGTACTTGTATGCATAAATAAATAAATCTTTTTTAAAAAAAATTCTATCATTCATAAAATGTCTTCACAGACTTCCATGGAGAGTAGGCAGGAATGGGGGACATATAAGAAAGATTTTCAACCACTAATCAGATAAGGAGCTATGCATACTTATTTGAAACTCAGTCTTGTTCTATATGTACCTGTGTGTCAAAGACATTATTCAGCAAAATTCCATACTGATGAGAGAGGCAGTCAGAAAGCCAACGGCAATCATGGATAACCTAAGGAATCAGAAGGTGGAGACAGAGAAATTAAAATCTAGCTGTTAATGTTAATAGCAAAATAATCAGCTTACATGCTCACCTTCAAAATTCTCTTGTCTTCTAATACCATCTGAAGTCCATTGTTGAAAGCACGACTTCCCAAAAGGAAAATGTCAAATAAGTAAACTCGGCTATTTGTAGCCACCTATGACAGACCAACCAGACATAGTTATATAGGATCACAACAAGCTAGGGAAGGGGATCTGAGGATCAACTTCTAAAGTAAACAATAGTCACTCAATGATTCTTAGGGAAAACAGATTTTTATTTTATTGTTTCAGGAAAAACAGAGTTAAACGGATGTGAAGTTAAAGAAGACAGCAGCACTGCACTTTTCAAAAGGAAATAAAGTCAAGTTGGTGATTTAGCCTTTCTATAGTTTCAATTTTATCAGTCTCACCAATGACATTCTAATATTCCAGGGATTACAAATTTAAGAAGGAATGAACAGCATTTCATTGTCACTAACAGGAAATGCTATTTCTGAGTTCCATAATATACAGGATTGTATTAATACTTGGAAGAGACACTCCTTGCCCTCAGTATTTTAAAATAGGCAACAAATCCATTGATACAAATAATGACACAAATAACAAATAAACAACAAACATAAGATTGTTGCTGATCATAAAAATCATAAAGGCCATACAGCTGAATAATCTATAGAGTCAGAGAACAAAGGCAAAAAAATATCCAAGACGATCTAGAGAGCCAGCCACATTATGACCCTTGTCACTGCAGGAGTCAACTGTTCTTACAGCTACAACTGCCACACCTACCCGTCATATTATGACCTTACAGTGTTTGTTAGAATTGGATACTTAAAATAGTCATTCACTTCTCTTTTACCCTAAATCTCAAATTGTAAAACTTGAGAGACATATTACCAAAAGTTCAGAAAATTATTCCCTGCTAGAGAATTATGAGAAAAGGGATTGTTGGATTTACTACTAAATTAGTAGTAACAATGGCGGAGTCATACATATGGCTGGCTGTTACTCATTTCTTCAGTGACTTGCTGTCTGCCATACAACACTGACATTTTTCATATGTTAAAAAATGCACATGGGTGTAGTCATATCCATTCAAATCTTTGTTTTTTCTGTTCCTTCAAACACCTTCGGCAGCTGCAAGAGATTGACAAAATGCACTCGAGTGTCTTTTTTTTTTTTAAGATTTATTTATTTTTATTTATGTATACAAGAACTGGGGTACAGGCCAGAGGTGCGGGGGATGAGAGGATTCACCAGAGATAGTGGGAAGCACAATACGCAGATGTATTGAAATACATTGCTGAGGGAAGAAGTGGGCAGGTCAGGAGAGGTCTGCTGTGCCACATGGGTCAGCTCCATGGCTGGGGATCAAACTCCTGCTGCAGTGGCTTTGGACAGCCTCATAGTGCTGCACTTTAACCTTTTGCACCACCAGGGAGGGCCTAGAAGTCTCTTATTGTTAACTGATTACAAGATAAATGGGTTCTCACATTTTTTCCTAATTATTTAGGACAGATAAAACTCTTTGTAATTCTCAAATATTTGGTACTATTATCTTAAGATATATCATTGTATGTCAAAAAACCTAACAGATGAAAGTTAAGCATTTAAATAACTTAACGTTAAGAAAAGCAGTGGGAAATACTGACAGAACGGAAGAGTAGGGAAAATAAAACAACAAAAAAAATTTTTTAAATGTTTAAGAATTAAAGGTGTTAGATTTAGATACAAAAAAGGTGAAGAGCTAGGAATAGAGGAAAGGTCTGAGATCTGTAAGGAGCAGTTTGTCTCCAGGTTAACCTCACTTAGTCTTCTTCCATTCTCACAGAGGTTAGATATATATATATATATTCCCATATCCAGTCAGGGAGGCTCCAGGGTTGTGAATATAAGACAGAGGACGGAAGCGGTTTTGGCAGTGGACTGAAAAGTGAAGTTTGAATTTTGAACTGGAGTCTCTAGACTTCCATTGCAGCTTCTAGGCCTAGAACACCAGCCTGTGTTGGAACAAGAGGAAAGGGCTCCAGGCAAGAAGACTTCAAGACAAAAATGCAACATAGACAGCAAGAGAGAAGTAAACCACTGCACTGAGGGGAAGACACAGGAAGGCTTAGTCACAGTTCAAAGAAAACAGCTCTAATATGATGAGGCCAAAACTAATTCTATGAAAACAAAAAGTTGTACAAGAAATTAAGCAATTTCTCGGCTCAGCAAAGAACTGTAGTTACACATTCATAATCACATACATTAACTCAATAAAAAAATTGAGGGGGAATGAAACTATACAATAAAAAAAACAAAAATAAGAAACTTTTCATATATCTAAGGAACTAAAACAGCCTGGAGCCTATAAGACAACAATGATATTGTTACTGGAATCCAGCAGGAACACAACAGGGTGGTGTTCTTTCACCATGCTGCACCACGGCAAGCCAGCTGTGGCAGTTGCTCCTCCAAGACCTTTTATGTAAATGTACCTCTTGGATTGTGGACTAGACCAATCAGGTGTGAGTTACGAGCTCACTGGTTCTAAATGGTCCAGTCAGCCACAGGATTGAAAAATGGCCCAGTCAGACTTTTGTAATCAGAACCCAGCATCCTCAACAGTGGGAGCTAGCACTCTTTCATTCTGCTTCTCCACCACAAGTCTGTGTCAGTTGTTCCTCAGAGCCCTTATGTAACAGTGTACTTCCTGTATCTTAGAATGGACCAATCAGGTATTATGAGCTGACTGATAAATGATACAACAGCCACAGGATTGAAAAATGGTCCAATCAGATTTGTGGGTACAGCAACCTGAAAGAGGATATAAGCCAGGGTTGGAGGGAGCTGAGAAGGGAGAGGTCAGCCTTGAAGATGCCAGCCTCTGAGGAGATAAACAGGAGAGATGACACCAGCCCCTGAAGAAAAGATGAAAGTTCCAGCCTCCGAAGGAAGTAGTGACCATCAAGCTGAAGGAAGAAGAAAGAAGGGGAAGACTCCATTCCTGGCCTCTAAAGAGGAAAAGAAGCATTCAGCAGGCAATCTTCAAGGAGGGAAGAAAAGCGAAAGACCTCTGTCAGAGACAAATGCTTCCTTTTTAGAACTACAAGAAAAACCAAAGACATTCCACACAATGGGGTGACATAAAAAGATAAATATGCCAGTGAACCTCTAGTTATTTCAAAATAAAAAATTTATTTTAAAAATATCTTTTACAGGCCCTCCCTGGTGGCACAG